TTAATTTTTCCTCTTTATTTACCCCTTTATATCTCTTTTATACCTCTTTTATTACCCCTCTTATATACATCTTTATTTAAAACTTATTTCCTTTTTTATTACCTCTTTTTTTTACCTCTTTTTTACTCTTTATAACCCTTTATAACCTCTTTATTTACCTCTTTTTATACCTCTTTATTTTCCCATTATTTTTTCCTATTTTTTTTCATCTTTTTATAGCTCTTTATTCCTCTTTTTCCTCTTTATATACTTTTATATACCTCTTTATATACCTCTTTTAACAAACCTCTTTTTTTTACCCCCTTTTTTTTACCTCTTTTTATACCTCTTTTTTAAAACCCTTTTAATAAACCCCCTTTATTACCTCTTCTAAACCTCCTACTTCCTCTTTATTTTAAACCCCTTTATCACGTCTTTATTAAACCCCTTTACATACCTTTTTATCCCTTTTTTTACCTTCTTACCTCTTTTATACCTCTTTTTAACACCCTTTATTTAGCTCTTTAATAGCTCTTTATTTCCCTCTTTATATACCTTTTTTATTTAACTCTTTTTATTCTTTTAAACCCTTTATAAACCCCCCTTTTTTACCTCATAATATACCTCTTTTAACCCTTTTTTTACTTTTTTTTTTTTTCAACTTTATTTAACCAGGTAAGCCAGTTGAGAACAGGTTATCATTTACAACTGCGACCTGGCCAAGATAAAGCAAAGTAGTGCAATAAAAACAACACAGAGTTACATTTACCTCTTTATATACATTTTATATACCTCTTTATATACCTATTCTAACACCTCTTTATTTACCTCTTTATATACCTCTTTATATACCTCTTTATATACCTCTTCTAACACACCTCTTCATTTACCTCTTCATTTACCTCTTTATATACCTCTTTTAACACCTATTTATTTACCTCTTTATATACCTCTTTATTTACCTCTTTATTTACCTCTTTATATACCTCTTTATATACCTCTTTATTTACTTTTTTCATTTTTTATTTCACCTTTATTTAACCAGGTAAGCCAGTTGAGAACAGGTTCTCATTTACAACTGCGACCTGGCCAAGATAAAGCAAAGTAGTGCAATAAAAACAACACAGAGTTACATTTACCTCTTTATATACATTTTATATACCTCTTTATATACCTATTCTAACACCTCTTTATTTACCTCTTTATATACCTCTTTATATACCTCTTTATATACCTCTTCTAACACCTCTTTATTTACCTCTTCATTTACCTCTTTATATACCTCTTTTAACACCTATTTATTTACCTCTTTATATACCTCTTTATATACCTCTTCTAACACCTCCTCATTTACCTCTTTATTTACTACTTTATATACGTCTTTATATACCTCTTTACATACCTCTTTATATGCCTCTTTAATTTACCTCTTTATTTACCTCTTTATATACCTATTTACTACCTCTTTATTTACCTCTTTAATACTCTTATATACCCCTTTTTTACCTTTCATTCCTCTTTATTTTTCCTCTTTTTTTACCTATTTAATTCCTCTTTTTTTTTACCCCTTTATATACCTCTTTATTTCCCCCCCTTTATATACCTTTTAATTAAAACCCCTTTTTTTTAAACCCCTTTATATCCCTCTTCTAAAAAAAAAACCACTTTTATTTACCCCTTCTTTGCCTCTTTAATACCTCTTTTAACACCCATTTATTTCCTTTATACCTCTTTATTTTTCCTCTTTTTTTCCTCTTATTACCTATTTATATACCTATTTACATACCTCTTTATTTTCCCCTTTAACCCTTTATTTACCTCTTTTTTACCCCTTATTACCTCTTTTTTACCTCTTTTTTAACTCTTTATTTACCTCTTTTTTACCTGTTTTTTAACCTCTTTATATCCTCTTTTTTACCTCTTCTAACACCTCTTTATTTACCTGGGCCCTTTAATTTTACTACCAGGGCCCTGGTCCTATATAGTTCCTACCAGGGCCCTGGTCCTTATATAGTTCACTAGCAGGGCCCTGGTCCTTATATAGTTCACTACCAGGGCCCTGGTCCTTATATAGTTCACTACTAGGGCCCTGGTCCTTATATAGTTCACTAGCAGGGCCCTGGTCCTTATATAGTTCACTACCAGGGCCCTGGTCCTTATATAGTTCACTACTAGGGCCCTGGTCCTTATATAGTTCACTAGCAGGGCCCTGGTCCTTATATAGTTCACTACCAGGGCCCTGGTCAAAAGTAGTGCACTACAGCATATAGAGAATCAGGTGTCATTTCAGAGTCAGCCTTGGTGTTTGGTTGCCAGGCGAAGTGAGGGTTGTCATCATACTATAATCCCTTTTCCAAGTTTCCCCAGAGGCTCATGGGAAGCGAGCTACGGTGTACTCTCGCTATTGGCGCATAAAATCTGGGTCTAGATGCACACGTGTCCTTAATCAACTCACATAACAAGATTAGGATGCTGATTTGATATTTCAGAGGGCCCCACGTACTTCACAACCATGTAATTGGAATAATACAGATGTAGGATCTTAATTTGATCACCCTGTTGTTGCAGGAAAATGCTAACTTGTAGTGTATTCAAGGTTTAAAAACGCTTCTAAAGTTTGTAATTTCCACTTAAAAATCTATCTACCCCTACAGAAATGTCCATTATTTATAATCCAGACAATAATTCACATTAACTGTTGATGCAGGATTATTTTGATGCTGTGATAAACTGTTCATATTAGGATCTCACACCTGTACCATTACAGATAGGGAGCTAGCTACACTACAGTACATCCTGCCAGACGCATTCTATGTGTTCTATGTGTTCTATGTTCGCTGCACTGAACCCACATCCAATACCAGATACCACACTGAACCCACATCCAATACCCGATACCACACTGAACCCACATCCAATACCCGATACCACACTGAACCCACGTCCAATACCAGATACCACACTGAACCCACGTCCAATACCAGATACCACACTGAACCCACGTCCAATACCAGATACCACACTGAACCCACATCCAATACCAGATACCACACTGAAGCCACATCCAATACCAGATAGCACACTGAGCCCACGTCCAATACCAGATACCACACTGAACCCACGTCCAATACCAGATACCACACTGAACCCACGTCCAATACCAGATACCACACTGAACCCACGTCCAATACCAGATACCACACTGAACCCACGTCCAATACCAGATACCACACTGAACCCACGTCCAATACCAGATACCACACTGAACCCACGTCCAATACCAGATACCACACTGAACCCACGTCCAATACCAGATACCACAATGAACCCACGTCCAATACCAGATACCACACTGAACCCACTCCAATACCAGATACCACACTGAAACCCACGTCCAATTACCAGATACCACAACTGACACCCACGTCCAATACCAGATACCACACTGAACCCACGTCCAATAGCAGATACCACAACTGAACCCACGTCCAATACCAGATACCACACTGAACCCACGTCCAATACCAGATACCACCTGAACCCACATCCATACCAGATACCACAACTGAACCCACGTCCAATACCAATACCACACTGAACCCCCAGTCCAATACCAGATACCACACTGAACCCACGTCCAATACCAGATACCACACTGAACCCACGTCCAATACCAGATACCACACTGAACCCACGTCCAATACCAGATACCACACTGAACCCACGTCCAATACCAGATACCACACTGAACCCACATCCAATACCAGATAACCCACACTGAACCCACTTCCAATACCAGATACCAACACTGAACCCACGATCCATACCAGATACCACACTGAACCCACATCCAATACCAGATACCACACTGAACCCACATCCAATACCAGATACCACACTGAACCCACATCCAATACCAGATACCACCACTGAACCCACATCCAATACCAGATACCCACAACTGAACCCACAGCCAATACCAGATACCACACTGAACCCACTCCAATACCAGATACCACAACTGAACCCACATCCAATACCATATACCACACTGAACCCATCCAATACCAGATACCACACTGAACCACATCCAATACCAGATACCAAACTGAACCCACGTCCAATACCAATACCACACTGAACCCACTCCAATACCAGATACACACTGAACCCACGTCCAATACCAGATACCACACTGAACCCATCCAATACCGATACCACACGACCCACATCCAATACCAGATACCCCACTGAACCCACATCCAATACATATACCACCACTGAACCCACATCCAATACCAATACCACACTGAACCCACATCCAATACCAATACCACATGAACCCACATCCAATGCGAACCCACACTGAACCCACGTCCAACACCAGATACCACACTGAACCCACGTCCAAACCAGATACCACACTGAACCCACGTCCAAACAGATACCACACTGAACCCACATCCACATAGCTATACCACACTGAACCCACTCCAATACCAGATACCACACTGAACCCATGTCCAATACCAGATACCACCCCCTACGTCCAATACGCAGATACCACAACTGAACCCCACATCCCATACCAGACACCACCTGACCCCATCCAATACCATATACCACCTGAACCCACGTCCACTACCAGCTACCACACTGAACCCACATCCCATACCAGATACCACCCTGAAACCCCCATCCAATACCAGATACCACACTGAACCCACATCCATGCCAGATACCACAGCTGCCCACGTCCCATCCAGATACCACACTTAACCCACATCCCATGCCAGAGTCCAAGGAGTCCAAGAAACTCACCACCCACCCGGCCCGATACCTCCTATACCTTTCAGGAATGCTTTCCAAGACAAATTAATCTCACACACCAAAACACTCACCTCTCTTTCCTGTTGCGTTCTGTCTCTTTCTCATCTTCTGCTAACCTGTCTGTTGTTCTTCTTCTCTGTTTTCTCACTCTGCTGCTTTCTGTTTCTGTCCCCTCCGCTCCTCCTCCCAGCATCGCTGTGGCTGCGGTCGCTGATAGTTGGGTGACACAGCCTCCTCCTAGTGATTCTGTTGCACCTCCGGCAGAGCCTGATAGTGTTGTGACACAGGCCCCCGAGAAGCTTGAATCCCCCACAAGGAAAGTAGTGGCACCCGCCCCCAGTCTACCCTCCACTGGTACCACCCCAACCCGCTCTCCCCCGCTAGGTCCCTGTATCTTGTTGCCTGCATGCAACGGTGGCCTGAAATTAATATACTTGAGCACACGATTGTAAATATTGATAAGCATAAAACAGATGACTATCATCACCTTAAAGCTGGAATCCTTAATGGTGAAAGTGCCATGTTCTTTTGGTGAAAGTGCCATGTTCTTTTGCGATATTATAACAACAAAGCAGTTACTGCTAACACTGTTGTTTTCCCTCGGGCATCTTTTCCCCACGTCAGAACAGCAGCATGGGTACTGCACATTTGATTTATTTTGACGCTCCCCCAGCGCTCCCCACCTCTGCTAATCAACAAAACAAAAACAATAACAAATGCCTTGGGGCGGACAGCGGCGCTGTTTCCCACTACTGCGGATTCCATGTTTAAGGGTAAATATGTGCCAATACATAGGCTACGATATGGACATTATCACAAGAACAGACTGTTAGAATTAACATAACGTTTCTGATTGACATTTTTTTATCTGCTTAAAAATAAAAAGTTTTTTTTAATCACTTCAAATAGATGAAACACAGTGAGATGAAATGTGATAAATACCTTAATGGGAAGTAGAGTGCCAAGATAAGACATTTCATTCAAATATCTTAAAGATAAAAATGCCTCAGGTTTGTGGATATATATATATACCAAAAACGTTCTAATCATTGTCTTAGATAAGAAATGGAAGAGTACCAACAAAACTTGATCATGTAATATATTAGAATATTAGAGAATAAAATCTATATTTTCTTATAATTATAATACATATCTCTGTGATACATTTGCAAAATGTTATTACTCTGTTAGATTTGTAATAAATAATTTCAACAGTGGTCTATCTGGCTGTTCTTCTGCTTCTCTCTCTCTTCTCCTCATGTCTTTCTGTCAGCATGGAGGTCTGTCTGTCAGCATGGAGGTCTGTCTGTCAGCATGGAGGTCTGTCTGTCAGCATGGAGGTCTGTCTGTCAGCATGGAGGTCTTTCTGTCAGCATGGAGGTCTGTCTGTCAGCATGGAGGTCTGTCTGTCAGCATGGAGGTCTTTCTGTCAGCATGGAGGTCTGTCTGTCAGCATGGAGGTCTGTCTGTCAGCATGGAGGTCTTTCTGTCAGCATGGAGGTCTGTCTGTCAGCATGGAGGTCTGTCTGTCAGCATGGAGGTCTGTCTGTCAGCATGGAGGTCTGTCTGTCTAATAGTGTTCTGTCAGCATGGAGGTCTGTCTGTCTAATACTGTTCGTCAGCATGGAGGTCTGTCTGTCTAATACTGTTCTGTCAGCATGGAGGTCTGTCTGTCTAATACTGTTCTGTCAGCATGGAGGTCTGTCTGTCTAATACTGTTCTGTCAGCATGGAGGTCTGTCTGTCTAATACTGTTCTGTCAGCATGGAGGTCTGTCTGTCTAATACTGTTCTGTCAGCATGGAGGTCTGTCTGTCTAATACTGTTCTGTCAGCATGGAGGTCTGTCTGTCTAATACTGTTCTGTCAGCATGGAGGTCTGTCTGTCTAATACTGTTCTGTCAGCATGGAGGTCTGTCTGTCAGCATGGAGGTCTGTCTGTCTAATACTGTTCGTCAGCATGAAGGTCTGTCTGTCTAATACTGTTCGTCAGCATGGCAACACTATGTTGTCGTTTGTCGTCTTGGTGATTGGCATGCGATAGAGATTCTGAATGGAATGAAACGGTGTTCTAAATCAATTCATTTCCCTGTTGATCAATATTTGTATTCCTGTCTGTTGGAGCTTGTCGTGAAAAATATAATTCTCACCACAAGTAAACAGTTTGATTCCATTTTTAAACGTTGAACTAAGAAGAAGTGAAATTGGGTGAAAGTGTGATATGTGGAAGTGATGTATATTTATTTGGGGAAGTAGAATCATTATAAAGAGATTCAAAGTTATACATAAATGACTGCTTATTCATTCATGTCAGAAAAGGTTTACAAGGGAAGTACAGTATTTAGCAGAGTTTGAAGGGGGAGTCCAGTATTTAGCAGAGTTTGAAGGGGGAGTCCAGTATTTAGCAGAGTTTGAAGGGTCGAGTCCAGTATTTAGCAGAGTTTGAAGGGGGAGTCCAGTATTTAGCAGAGTTTGAAGGGGGAGTCCAGTATTTAGCAGAGTTTGAAGGGAGAGTCCAGTATTTAGCAGAGTTTGAAGGGTCGAGTCCAGTATTTAGCAGAGTTTGAAGGGGGAGTCCAGTATTTAGCAGAGTTTGAAGGGGGAGTCCAGTATTTAGCAGAGTTTGAAGGGTCGAGTCCAGTATTTAGCAGAGTTTGAAGGGGGAGTCCAGTATTTAGCAGAGTTTGAAGGGGGAGTCCAGTATTTAGCAGAGTTTGAAGGGGGAGTCCAGTATTTAGCAGAGTTTGAAGGGGGAGTCCAGTATTTAGCAGAGTTTGAAGGGTCGAGTCCAGTATTTAGCAGAGTTTGAAGGGAGAGTCCAGTATTTAGCAGAGTTTGAAGGGGGAGTCCAGTATTTAGCAGAGTTTACAGGGGGAGTCCAGTATTTAGCAGAGTTTGAAGGGGGAGTCCAGTATTTAGCAGAGTTTACAGAGGGAGTCCAGTATTTCCCTAACTGTTCCACTCTGATCCCTGAGTCATGGTTCTGTTGCACCTCAGTAGGTTGACCAGGTTAAACCAGGCTGCCAAATATGGGATTTTACAATGGGTCAATCTACACAAATTTCAGACAATGTTTAAGGACCCCGCTGGCACCGTAGGCAGCGGCTACGTCCCAAATGGGACCTTGTTCACTATATAGTGCACTACTTTGAACAGCTTTTGACTGAGTCTTAAGTCCCTGTGGGATCTGGTCAAAGGTAGAGCATTGATAGAGAACAGGGTGCAGTTTGGGATCGTAGTCAACCTGTGATCAGAATATATGGGTATTGTCAAAGCCAGGGCCAGTGGATTAATGTGAGCATCACTCTGTCTTTACATCAGGGCTGACAGTTTAATGTGTTCATCACTCTGTCTCTACAGCAGGGCTGGTGGTTTAATGTGTTCATCACTCTGTCTCTACAGCAGGGCTGGTGGTTTAATGTGTTCATCACTCTGTCTCTACACCAGGGCTGGTGGTTTAATGTGTTCATCACTATGTCTCTACAGCAGGGCTGGTGGTTTAATGCGTTCATCACTCTGTCTCTACAGCAGGGCTGGTGGTTTAATGTGTTCATCACTCTGTCTCTACATCAGGGCTGGTGGTTTAATGTGTTCATCACACTGTCTCTACATCAGGGCTGGTGGTTTAATGTGTTCATCACACTGTCTTTACAGCAGGGCTGGTGGTTTAATGTGTTCATCACTCTGTCTCTACCTCAGGGCTGGTGGTTTAATGTGTTCATCACCCTGTCTCTACAGCAGGGCTGGTGGTTTAATGTGTTCATCACTCTGTCTCTACAGCAGGGCTGGTGGTTTAATGTGTTCATCACACTGTCTCTACAGCAGGGCTTTTGGTTTAATGTGTTCATCACTCTGTCTCTACCTCAGGGCTGGTGGTTTAATGTGTTCATCACTCTGTCTCTACAGCAGGGCTTGTGGTTTAATGTGTTCATCACACTGTCTCTACAGCAGGGCTGGTGGTTTATTGTGTTCATCACTCTGTCTCTACAGCAGGGCTGGTGGTTTAATGTGTTCATCACTCTGTCTCTACAGCAGGGCTGGTGGTTTAATGTGTTCATCACTCTGTCTCTACAGCAGGGCTGGTGGTTTAATGTGTTCATCACTCTGTCTCTACAGCAGGGCTGGTGGTTTAATGTGTTCATCACTCTGTCTCTACAGCAGGGCTGGTGGTTTAATGTGTTCATCACACTGTCTCTACAGCAGGGCTGGTGGTTTAATGTGTTCATCACTCTGTCTCTACAGCAGGGCTGGTGGTTTAATGTGTTCATCACTCTGTCTCTACAGCAGGGCTGGTGGTTTAATGTGTTCATCACTCTGTCTCTACAGCAGGGCTGGTGGTTTAATGTGTTCATCACACTGTCTCTACAGCAGGGCTGGTGGTTTAATGTGTTCATCACTCTGTCTCTACAGCAGGGCTGGTGGTTTAATGTGTTCATCACACTGTCTCTACAGCAGCGCTGGTGGTTTAATGTGATGTAGAGACATAGTGATGAACACATTAAACCACCAGCCCTGTGTAATGAATACTCGGACAGAGTGGTAAGATCCAATCGCAGAATAGCGATGCTTTATTAGAGTACAGACAAGGGAATAGCTTAATCGTGGTCGGGCGGGCTGTGGTCAAAACCGGGCCAGGCATAGACAGGCAGAGGTACCAATGGAGCGGGCTTAGTCGTAGTCGAGGGCACAGGCACAGGATCAGAGGACGGTAATCACTGGGGTAGACAAGCAGAGGATTAAGCAATTCGGGGAGTCAAACAACAAGGCACAGGTTGGATACACGGGTAATCAAAATCAACAAACTCTCTCTCTCTCTCGGAACAAAACGCTTAGCAAGTCACAATGGAACAACACCTCTCGCCGACTGAGCTTCTGAGCACACCTTAAATCCTACACTAATTACTGACAGGTGTGCTCAGAACTAAGGTGAATCAGATCGAGTCTGATGACTCCCCCTCTCTGTAGATCGGGGAAGTGTCAGACTCTGTCTAGACCCTGCCAACCCCCGATCCCTTACAGTATCCCCCTCCCCAGGGCCGGCTCCTGATGGCCTTCTACCTCTACCGGGTGGTCTTCCTCTGGGTCGGGGTCCTGAATGATCTGGGTGCTCAGCGTGGAAAGTGGCCTTGAGAGCGGGATCCAGTATGTCCTTAGCCGGAACCCAGGACCGTTCCTCAGGTCCATATCCCTCCCAGTCCACGAGATATTCGATGCCCCCTCGTCTCCGTCTTGACTCCAGTATCTCGTGGGCTGTATAGGTGGTGTCCTGTTCATCCTCCAAAGGTGGTGTAGTAGGTTGTTGAGCTATTGGTGGATACATCGGGCTATAATGGACAGGTTTCAACAGGGAGACGTGGAACGTAGGGTTTATCCTGTAGTGTCGAGGGAGTAACAGACGGTAGGTGACAGGGTTAATACGTCTCTGAACTTTGAAAGGACCAATGTACCTGGGTTGGAGCTTCTTGCAGCTCCGTCGGAACCGCAGGTCTCGGGTAGACAGCCCCACTCGTTGCCCGGGTTGATAAGTGGGAGTAGGTCTCCGGCATCGGTCGGCGTAGGTCTTTTGCTGTTGTGAGGCTTGACTGAGATGTTGATGGGCCGTCTCCCAGACCTGCGCACTCCGACGGAACCACTCGTCCACCGCCGGTACCATCCCTGATGCGGTATCCCACGGGAACAGGGGGGGTTGATACCCTAGAACACACTGGAAGGGCGTTAAGCGTAGGGAGGTGTGAATGAGTGAGTTCTGAGCATACTCTACCCAAGGAAGGAATCGACTCCACTCTTGCGGCTGCCGCGAACATTGTTGCCGTAGATATTTCCCAATTTCCTAGTTGAGCCGTTCTGTCTGCCCATTGGCCTGGGGATGATATCCGGAGGTGAGGCTCACCGAGATGCCCAAGCGTTCGCAGAAGGCCTTCCATACCCGGGATACAAACTGGGGTCCCCGGTCGGAAACAATATCCTCCGGGACACCAAACTGCCGGAACACCTGGGTAAACATAGTCTCAGCCATCTGAGTGGCGTTAGGCAAACGGGTCATGGGTACTAACCGGCACATCTTGGAGAAACGATCGATGACCACGAGAATTACAGTATGGCCCTCTGATTCTGGTAGGTCGGTAACAAAGTCCATAGCAATGTGCGACCATGGTCGTTGAGGAGTTGGCAATGGCATCAGCTTACCCTCCGGTAGTACACGAGGTACCTTGGACTGAGCACATACTGGACAGGATAAGACATAGTCTCTGACGACATCTGTGAGGGAATCCCACCAGTAGTTTTGGCTGATGAGTCGTGTAGTTCGGGTGATTCCGGGATGACCAGATCCCAGCGACGTGTGGCACCATTCCATCAGTTGAGGTCGAAGAGGAGCTGGCACAAACACCTTAGACCCCGGGGTTTCTGGAGGGGCTGGTTCCGCTTGTAAGCTCTCCTGAATCATGTCATCAATAGCCCACCTCACCGGACCAGCACGGTAACTCATGGGGAGAATAGGTTCTGGCTCCACGGGTCTTTCCGTGCGCTCGAACCGTCGGGAAAGCGCGTCCGCCTTACCATTCTTGGACGCGGGGATATAAGAGACAGTGAATCGGAAACGGTTGAAGAATAAAGACCACCTTGCCTGTCGGGAGTTCAGTCGTTTGGCACTGTGAAGATACTCCAGGTTGCGGTGGTCCGTGAGCACTTGGAACGGATGCTCTGCTCCCTCCAACCAATGTCTCCACTCCTCCAGTGCTAACTTCACCGCCAGTAATTCCCGATTACCCACGTCATAGTTCTGCTCGGCAGAATTCAGTTTCCTTGAAAAGAAAGCACAGGGTCGTGATTTAGGCGGCTCACTGTCACGATCGTCTATGAAATAGGACCAAAGCGCAGCGTTGGTAGCGAACATATTGACTTTAATGCACTACACGAGAATACAAAACAAAACACGATCATGAAGTCATCAGTGACAACGACTGAACATAGAACAAAAACCCACAAATACCAGGTGAACACAGACAGTTTAAATATGGCTCCCAATCAGAGATAACGAGCCGACAGCTGACACTCGTTACCTCCGATTGGGAGTCATTTGACCAAACACAACCAATGACAAACCAACCAAACAAAACACAACGAAACGAACACACCCTGGCTCAACATACAAAGTCCCGGAGCCAGAGCGTGACAGTACCCCCCCCTAAAGGCGCGGACTGCGACCGCGCCTCAAAAACCCCAAACAGGGGAGGGCTGGGTGGGCATTACTCCTCGGAGGCGGCTCCGGCTCCGGGCTTGACCACCACCCTTCTTCAATCCCCCCGTAGCGCCCCCAGTCCGATCTGACCCAGCTGGTAGGATCTGGACTGACGACGCGCACCCCTGGCTTGGCGCGTGAGGCAGGAACGGACCGGACCTGACAGACGATACGCACCCTAGGCTTGATGCGTGGAGCCGGAACGGGCCTCACCAGGCTGACGACTCGCATCCCTGGCTTGGTGCGAGTAGTAGGAATGGGCTGGATCAGGCTGACGGCTCGCACCCTTGGCTTGGTGCGAGTAGCAGGGACGAGTTGAACCAGGCTGACGACTCGCACCCTTGGCTTGGTGCGAGTAGCAGGAACGGGCTGGACCAGGCCGACGACTCGTACCCCTGGCTTGGTGCGAGTAGCAGGAACGGGCTGGACCAGGCTGACGACTCGCACCCTTGGCTTGGTGCGAGTAGCAGGAACGGGCTGGACCAGGCTGACGACTCGCACCCTTGGCTTGGTGCGAGTAGCAGGAACAGATCGGGCTGGGCTGGCGACGCACACCGTAGGTTTTGTGCGTGGAGCAGGAACAGGCCGGGCTGGGCTGGCGACGCACACCGTAGGCTTTGTGCGGAGAGCAGGAACGGGCCGGGCCGGGCTGGCGACGCGCACCACAGGTTTGGTGCGGGGAGCAGGAACAGGCCGGGCCGGGCTGGCGACGCGCACCACAGGCTCCATGCGAGAAACAGGAACAGACAGGACCGCACTGAGGACACACACCCCTGGCCCTACACGGGGATCAGGAACGGGCCGGACCGGACTGGTAACACACCCCAGTACCCTTCGCCGTGCCTCCACACCTTCCTTCCCCTTCGTGACCAGTGGTCCCCTTAACCTGGCGGCCTTTTCTGCCAACCTACTGCACTCCTCTAACCCGTACTCCTGCTGCCCCGACGTCGTGAGCCCCCCCCCTAAAAACTTTCTGGGGGTCTCTCCTCTCCGTGGACCAGGCCTCTATAGTCCTCTCCCAACCTTCGCTCTTCTGTCTCCACCACTCGTCATCCAACTCCTGGAAACGCTGCTTGGTCTCGTTGTGGTGGGTTTTTCTGTCACGATCGTCTATGAAATAGGACCAAAGCGCAGCGTTGGTAGCGAACATATTGACTTTAATGCACTACACGAGAATACAAAACAAAACACGATCATGAAGTCATCAGTGACAACGACTGAACATAGAACAAAAACCCACAAATACCAGGTGAACACAGACAGTTTAAATATGGCTCCCAATCAGAGATAACGAGCCGACAGCTGACACTCGTTACCTCCGATTGGGAGTCATTTGACCAAACACAACCAATGACAAACCAACCAAACAAAACACAACGAAACGAACACACCCTGGCTCAACATACAAAGTCCCGGAGCCAGAGCGTGACACTCACCTTGGCGTTGGGATAACACGGCTCCAATTCCAACCTCCGAAGCGTCCACTTCCACGATAAACGGTAAGGTAGGGTCCGGCTGACATAGAATAGGAGCGGTGGTAAAGCGTTGTTTCAACGTCTCAAACGCACGCACCGCCCCCTCCGTCCAGTTCAGACCGCGACCCTTGTAGCTGGTCATCGCCGACAGAGGCGCTACGGTTGTGCTGAAATTACGCACGAACCGTCTATAGTAATTGGCAAACCCTAAGAACCTCTGGAGCTCCTTCACCGTCTGGGGTTGAGGCCAGTCTTGTACCGCTTGCACCTTGGATTCATCCAGTTTAACCCCTTCGGGAGTGAGTATGGCCCCAAGGAAGGAAATCGTAGTGACATGGAATTCACTCTTTTCTGCCTTCACGAACAGAGAATGTTGTAGGAGCCGATCCAGAACCTGTCGTACATGGGACACATGTTCACTCAGAGAGTTAGAATATATTAGGATGTCATCAATGTACACTATAACAAATCGATCAATCATGTCCCTGAAAATGTCATTCATGAACGCCTGGAATACTGAGGGCGCGTTGGTAAGTCCATAGGGCATGACACAATATTCGTAGTGTCCTCGATGTGTGATGAAGGCGGTCTTCCATTCATCCCCCTCTCTAATACGCACCAGATTGTACGCACTCCTGAGGTCCAGTTTACTGTACATGGAGGCCTGTCCCACCTGTTCAAGGGCTGCTGGAATCAAAGGAAGAGGATAACGATTTTTGATGGTAATATCGTTCAACCCTCGATAGTCTATACAAGGACGCAGTCCGCCATCCTTTTTCTTCACAAAGAAAAAACTGGATGCGGCGGGAGACGTCGATGGGCGAATGGCCCCTTGCTGTAGCGCCTCATCAATATACTGGCTCATCGCTTCTCGTTCCGGCTGTGACAACGGGTAGATTCTTCCACGAGGAGGTGTAGCTCCGGATAGCAGATCAATCCCGCAGTCCCAGGCCCGATGAGGTGGTAACACGGTAGCCCTCTCCTTGGAGAACACCTGCGCGTAATCCTGGTATTCTGTAGGGACCACACTAGACACCGCACCCTGCGCATCCTCCACAGTAGATATTTTGCACTGTAAATTGAGGCACTCTGCCCTACATACCTCACTCCAAGCTGTGATATCGCCAGATTTCCAGGAGATGACCGGATCATGGAGGACGAGCCAGGGGTGGCCGAGAACTAGTGGCTCCCGTGGAGCGGAGATGACGAAAAAAAAGATGTTCTCCTGGTGTATGGAGCCCACTTGTAACTTGATTAACCTCTGTACGGTGCGTAATGAACCCAGTGCCCATGGGCTCATCGTCTAGCGCGTTGACTCGCAGGGGAGGTTGAATTGGGATTAGTTGAACTCCCAACTCCTCAGCAAGACCCATATCCAGAAAGCTGGCAGCCGCTCCGGAATCAATAAGTCCTTCCAACCTGCGCACTTTCTCTCAGACAGATAAGGTAACTGGCACATACATTTGTTTCGATGTAATGTTCAAAACTGGATTCTCACTCACCGGTTTGGCAGTTCCGAGGCGATATCCTGGTGTACGGTTAGGTCGTACCGGACATTGACGAACAAAATGACCCGACTGACCACAATACAAGCATAGTCCGTCTTGCCGACGTTGTTGTCTCACCGAACCTTGTAGAGGTGACCGTCCCAGTTGCATAGGTTCCTCCTCAGATTCTCTCCTCCGCTCTGTCGATTGCATAGGACCAGTGATCGAGGACTCCCGGACTGTGGATGCCTTGTGTTGCACTATAAGATTATCAATAGAGATGGCTATTTTGATAAACTCATTTAGCGCAGTGATATCTCCTCGACAAGCCAACTCAGTCTGTACGTCTTTGCGCAGCCCTCTTCGGAAAACTGTGAGCAAAGCAGTCTCGCTCCATCCGCTACCGGCTGCTATAGTACGGAACTCTAAAGCGTAGTCGGCTACTATGCGACGGCCCTGCTGAAGTTCGCATAGTTCGTCTCCCACACTACGCCCAGATACTGGGTGGTCGAACACCTCTTGAAACAGTCTCTTGAACTGAACTTCCGCATTCAACTCGGGGACCTCAGCTGCCCAAAGCGCAGTAGCCCAATCCAGTGCTCTTCCCGTTAGCAGAGAAATCATGAAATCCACCCTGCTATGGTCATCGGAAAACATAGTACGATTATACGACATATACAGGGACGTCTGGAGTGGAAACCCCTGACATTTGCCAGGTTCCCCGTCGTACCTTGTAGGTAGAGAAATCGGAGGTGCATGACGAGGACTGACCGTGCTCGGGGTGGTGCCTTCAGCCGCACCAGCGTTGAGTAACTCTAGGAGTTCATCCATCCGTTTCTCCTGTATCTCCCATCGCCTCTGTAATTCCGCTGGATCCATGGTAATGGCGAGGTATTCTGTAATGAATACTCGGACAGAGTGGTAAGATCCAATCGCAGAATAGCGATGCTTTATTAGAGTACAGACAAGGGAATAGCTTAATCGTGGTCGGGCGGGCTGTGGTCAAAATCGGGCCAGGCATAGACAGGCAGAGGTACCAATGGAGCGGGCTTAGTCGTAGTCGAGGGCACAGGCACAGGATCAGAGGACGGTAATCACTGGGGTAGACAAGCAGAGGATTAAGCAATTCGGGGAGTCAAACAACAAGGCACAGGTCGGATACACGGGTAATCAAAAACAACAAACTCTCTCTCTCTCTCGGAACAAAATGCTTAGCAAGTCACAATGGAACAATACCTCGCGCCGACTGAGCTTCTGAGCACACCTTAAATCCTACACTAATTACGGACAGGTGTGCTCAGAACTCAGGTGAACCAGATCGAGTCTGATGACTCCCCCTCTCTGTAGATCGGAGAAGTGTCAGACTCTGTCTAGACCCTGCCAACCCCCGATCCCTTACACCCTGATGTAGAGACATAGTGATGAACACATTAAACCGTCAGCCCTGCTGTAGAGACAGAGTGATGAACACATTAAACCAGCAGGGCTGGTGGTTTAATGTGTTCATCACCCTGTCTCTACAGCAGGGCTGGTGGTTTAATGTGTTCATCACTCTGTCTCTACAGCAGGGCTGGTGGTTTAATGTGTTCATCGCTCTGTCTCTACAGCAGGGCTGGTTGTTTAATGTGTTCATCACACTGTCTCTACAGCAGGGCTGGTGGTTTAATGTGTTCATCACTCTGTCTCTACAGCAGGGCTGGTGGTTTAATGTGTTCATCACTCTGTCTCCACAGCAGGGCTGGTGGTTTAATGTGTTCATCACTCTGTCTCTACAACAGGGCTGGTGGTTTAATGTGTTCATCACTATGTCTCTACAGCAGGGCTGGTGGTTTAATGTGTTCATCACTATGTCTCTCCAGCAGGGCTGGTGGTTTAATGTGTTCATCACTCTGTCTCTACAGAAGGGCTGGTGGTTTAATGTGTTCATCACTCTGTCTCTACAGCAGGGCTGGTGGTTTAATGTGTTCATCACACTGTCTCTACAGCAGAGCTGGTGGTTTAATGTGTTCATCACACTGTCTCTACAGCAGGACTGGTGGTTTAATGTGTTCATCACATTGTCTCTACAGCAGGGCTGGTGGTTTAATGTGTTCATCACTCTGTCTCTACAGCAGGGCTGGTGGTTTAATGTGTTCATCACACTGTCTCTACAGCAGGGCTGGTGGTTTAATGTGTTCATCACACTGTCTCTACAGCAGGGCTGGTGGTTTAATGTGTTCATCACTCTGTCTCTACATTAGGGCTGGTGGTTTAATGTGTTCATCACTCTGTCTCTACAGCAGGGCTGGTGGTTTAATGTGTTCATCACTCTGTCTCTATAGCAGGGCTGGTGGTTTAATGTGTTCATCACTCTGTCTCTACACCAGGGCTTGTGGTTTAATGTGTTCATCACTCTGTCTCTATAGCAGGGCTGGTGGTTTAATGTGTTCATCCACACTGTCTCTACCTCAGGGCTGGTGGTTTAATGTGTTCATCACTCTATCTCTACAGAAGGGCTGGTGGTTTAATGTGTTCATCACTCTGTCTCTACCTCAGGGCTGGTGGTTTAATGTGTTCATCACTCTGTCTCTACAGCAGGGCTGGTGGTTTAATGTGTTCATCACTCTGTCTCTATAGCAGGGCTGGTGGTTTAATGTGTTCATCACTCTGTTTCTACAGCAGGGCTGGTGGTTTAATGTGTTCATCACTCTGTCTCTACAGCAGGGCTGGTGGTTTAATGTGTTCTTCACTCTGTTTCTACAGCAGGGCTGGTGGTTTAATGTGTTCATCACTCTGTCTCTACAGCAGGGCTGGTGGTTTAATGTGTTCATCACTCTGTTTCTACAGCAGGGCTGGTGGTTTAATGTGTTCATCACACTGTCTCTACCTCAGGGCTGGTGGTTTAATGTGTTCATCACTCTATCTCTACAGAAGGGCTGGTGGTTTAATGTGTTCATCACTCTGTCTCTACCTCAGGGCTGGTGGTTTAATGTGTTCATCACTCTGTCTCTACAGCAGGACTGGTGGTTTAATGTGTTCATCACACTGTCTCTAGCTCAGGGCTATAGTTATATATATGATTAAATAGGCGGTTATAGATATAGATTAATAGTTATAGATATAGTTATATAGGCAGTTATAGATATGGTTATATAGTTATAGATATGGTTATACAGGCAGTTATAGATATGGTTATACAGGCAGTTATAGATATAGTTATATAGTTATAGATATGGTTATACAGGCAGTTATAGATATGGTTATACAGGCAGTTATAGATATAGTTATATAGTTATAGATATGGTTATACAGGCAGTTATAGATATGGTTATACAGGCAGTTATAGATATGGTTATACAGTTATATATAAAGATATATATACATATATATATATTATTATATAGGCAGTTGTAGATATAGATACATATGTATATATGTATATATATATATATATATAGTCGTATAATCAGTTATAGATATGGTTATATAGTTATAGATATAGTTATATAGTTATAGATATGGTTATACAGGCAGTTATAGATATGGTTATACAGGCAGTTATAGATATGGTTATACAGGCAGTTATAGATATGGTTATACAGGCAGTTATAGATATGGTTATACAGGCAGTTATATATATGGTTATACAGGCAGTTATAGATATGGTTATACAGGCAGTTATAGATATGGTTATACAGGCAGTTATAGATATGGTTATACAGGCAGTTATAGATATGGTTATATAGTTATAGATATGGTTATACAGGCAGTTATAGATATGGTTATACAGGCAGTTATAGATATGGTTATACAGGCAGTTATAGATATGGTTATATAGTTATAGATATGTTTATACAGGCAGTTATAGATATGGTTATACAGGCAGTTATAGATATGGTTATACAGGCAGTTATAGACATAGTTATATAGTTATAGATATGGTTATACAGGCAGTTATAGATATGGTTATATTGGCAGTTATAGATATAGTTATATAGTTATAGATATGGTTATACAGGCAGTTATAGATATGGTTATACAGGCAGTTATAGATATGGTTATACAGGCAGTTATAGATATGGTTATATAGTTATAGATATGGTTATACAGGCAGTTATAGATATGGTTATACAGGCAGTTATAGATATAGTTATATAGTTATAGATATGGTTATACAGGCAGTTATAGATATGGTTATACAGGCAGTTATAGATATAGTTATATAGTTATAAATATGATTATATAGTTATAGATATTAGTACGTTCAAAAGTTTGGGGTCACTTAGAAATGTCCTTGTTTTGGAAAGAAAAGCAATTTTTTTGGTCTATTTAAATAACATCAAATTGGAAATACAGTGTAGACATTGTTAATGTTTTAAATGGCTATTGTAGCTGGAAACGGCTGATTTTTACAGAATATCTACATAGGCGTACGGAGGCCCATTATCAGCAACCACCAGTCCTGTGTTCCAATGGCACGTTGTGTTTGCTAATCCAAGTTTATCATTTAAAAAGGCTAATTGATCATTAGAAAATCATTTTGCAATTATTTTAGCACAGCTGAAAACTGTTGTGCTGATTAAAGTAGCAATAAAACTGGCCTTCTTGAGACTAGTTGAGTATCTGGAGCATCAGCAATTGTGGGTTCGATTACAGGCTCAAAATGGCCAGAAACAAAGAACTTTCTTCTGAAACTCGTCAGTCTATTCTTGTTCTGAGAAATGAAGGCTACTCCATGCGAGAAATTGCGAAGAAACTGAAGATCTCGTACAATGCTGTGTACTACTCCCTTCACAGAACAGCGCAAACTGGCTCTAACCAGAATAGAAAGAGGAGTGGGAGGCTCCGTTGCACAACTGAGCAAGAGGACAAATACATTAGAGTGTCTAGTTTGAGAAACAGGCGCCTCACAGGTCCTCAACTGGCAGTTTCATTAAATAATACCCGCAAAACACCAGTATCAACGTCAACAGTGAAGAGGCGACTCCGGGATGTTGACCTTCTAGGCAGAGTTGCAAAGAAAAAGCCATATCTCAGATTGGCCAATAAAAAGAAAAGATTAAGATGGGCAAAAGAACACAGACATTGGACAGAGGAAGATTGGAAAAAAGTGTTATGGACAGACGAATCAAAGTTTGAAGTGTTCGGATCACAAAGAAGAACATTTGTGAAACGCAGACCAAATGAAAAGATGCTGGAGGAGTGCTTGATGCCATCTGTCAAGCATGGTGGAGGCAATTTGATGGTCTGGGGGTACTTTGGTGGTGGTAAAGTGGGAGACTTGTACAGGGTAAAAGGGATCTTGAAGAAGGAAGGCGATCACTCCATTTTGCAACGCCATCACTCCATTTTGCAACGCCATGCCATACCCTGTGGACGGCACTTGATTGGAGCCAATTTCCTTCTACAACAGGACAATGACCCAAAGCACAGATCCAAACTATACAATAATTATTTAGGGAAGAAACAGTCAGCTGGTATTCTGTCTATAATGGAGTGGCCAGCACAGTCACCGGATCTCAACCCTATTGAGCTGTTGTTGGAGCAGCTTGACCGTATGGTACGTAAGAAGTGCCCATCAAGCCAATCCAACTTGTGGGAGGTGCTTCAGGAAGCATGGGGTGAAATCTCTTCAGATTACCTCAACAAATTGACAACTAGAATGCCAAAGGTCTGCAAGGCTGTAATTGCTGCAAATGGAGGATTCTTTGACGAAAGCAA